TTTTAAATCGAGATAGGCTGAATGTAATCTATCTCAATCAGAATAATTTCTCAATTTGGGTCAACAACAAAAAATGGACCGAAGCCATCCAAATCCTCGTTTCTCTATCTAGAAGCTCTCTCCCAGTCTCTCTTGCCAGCTGCCTCACTTGGGGGAATAATTTTTGGCAAAGTTGAAAATGTTGGAAGATATGGCACCCTGAGAGGGAGGAGAGGGGAGGGGTGAATTGGGTTTAAAACTAATTTTATTAAAAGAAAGTAATTAAAATAATTTTAATGTAATTTAGAAAAGAATAAATAATCACATAATTTTTTATAAAAAAAGATAAAAAATAGTTGTAAGAAAAGAAAATAAAAGGTACAATATTTTTAAGCAGTTTAACTTGGATTCCAATTCGATCTATGCCTACGCTAGTCAACTCTCGGGCTAGAATATACTAATCCCAGATTTGCCTTGCAAACCTCATTTTTGTAAACCAAAGAAATTATTCGCAACCAAAGTATTCTCCTACACAGACGAGTACAACCCAATTTAATTACAATTTAAATTTCAGTAAGCCAAATGACTTAGATCAAGAAAAAAAAATAGAAATTGATATAAACAATACAAGCTCAAATTATCTTGCAATAAAATAACCACAATATTTGAGGTGAATTTTACAATATAATTATAATCACCTCATTACTTGCAAATGAAATATAAATTTTGATCACATTAAAATATATTTATATCTTGATATAGGTATGAATAATATTTTAAATAAAATTATTTTTCATGCTGATTGAAATTATAAGCTCCTTAAGTCATATAAGATGGATATAAATCATTAAAAGAAATATGAAAGGTGAATACTAAAATTAAAGCAAAGAAAACTTTGGGGAATGGAGGAACAAACTCATGAACTTTCTGAGTTGCTCAATTGAATGTGTTGAAGCTTTTGAATAAATAACTTGATCTTGCAAATGTGTATAGATCACTATGAATGAAGATTAAAATTTTTCCTCTCAAGATTTAGTATGTGAAGAAGGAAAGAGGAATGAAAATATTACTGGAGTTTTTTTCTTTTGAATAGCCCTTAGAAGGAGAGAAAGAGAGTTATTTAAATGGAAAGGGTAAGTAAAGCCAATTTTAAATAAAATTAATAATCTAATACTATTTTATCAACTAATAATATTATATTTGATAAAGAATTCATTAATATTAAATAAACATAAGTTTCAAATGGCAAAAAAATGGCAAGTCACTTGGAAAAATAAAAAAGTCTTCATATACATCTAAAATAAGGAAAAAAATGACTACCCATCTTATAATATTAAAATTGGATGATGTTTAAAAAATTTAATGAAATAAATTCAATTTAGCTCAAAAGTGGTTATGTAACTTATTAATTTTTATCTACAAATTCAAAAACTTTAATGAAATAAAAATTAAGCCATATTTCTATCAAAATAATTTCATATACAACAAAATAAAAACTTAGTTTATTTTAATGTATTTCAAGATTTATTAAATGTAATATGATGTAATTTAGATAAACTTTATTATATTTTAGTAAATTTATGTGAAATAAGTTTAACTTAAAATAAATATCTAATAAAATTTTTATGATCTAAGCTTATTACTTTTAATTTCCCTAATAAGTAAGTTTTCATATTTGATAAAATTTACATAATCTATGATGCATATAAAATTTGTTTAATAAAGAAATTTTATAGATTTCTAAATCAAGCTTATTATCATTAATTAATAATATGTAAATCATTTTAATAGATTTAGATTGTGAGTAAATCATGTTGCAAATTCAGGTCCATGAACTATGTTTTGATGATTGGAAAACACTCTTACTTGTCTTGGACTACCTTTTACTACTGACTTTTCAAGAATCAAAGATCAGACAGAAAAACGGAGCCAGCTCAAGAATGGGTAGATTAGGATTGAGTCAGTCTATAATTTTATTTTTCCCTTCTTGAGTTCTTTGTAATCTTTGGTGTGACTGATGCAAAGTAACCCCCCACACTCACACACTTGAAAGACTTAGAATTTCTATTTTTTACTCATATCGGCTAGGATGATATTGTTATCGTCCTGGATGATCTGGCTTAAAACAGAGAATCTAATCAGAAGTTCTTAATTAAGGCAATCATCATTAGCCAATCAGCCTGGACGATACTTGTACCGGTTAGGACGATATGCTCAAAATAGAAAGAAATTGCTGCCATAAACAATTAAGGTATTATGTATTTTGGTAATCGGTCAGGACAATCTTGGATTGTCCTAGACGATATTCACAATTATGCCTTAATTGATCAGACAATCAAGGAGGTAATTAAGGATGATTGATACGATCATATCGTCCTGGACGATCGCAAGATCGGCCAGGACAATCGATTCTAAAATCCTTAGTCACTCCTAGACGATAAATATCGGCCAGGATAAATTCAGGGCGATGTGTTGGACGATCTGGATCGGACAACCTGAATTCAAGGTGATGCTCTAGACGATTTTCCTTTGATTTGAACAGATCGGCCACGACGATCGTGAGATCGTCTGGGATGATCAAGCAAATTTTCAATCATCCAGTTTGCATTCAGGGCGATGCTCTGGCCGATCTTATGAGATTTGTACTGATCGGCCAGGATGATTTCCATATTATCCTGGACGATAAAGTCGGCAACTTGCAATTAATGAGCCCCTTTGAAGATCTTCTATTTAAGAGCTCTTGTTCAACGTTTTTGAACATCCTTGGCTGCTAACTTGACTTGAGAAAACCTAAAGGAGAGAGAGAGAGGGAGAGAGAGAGAGGATCTTGTGAGGGGGAGCTTGTGAGGCGATTCACAAGGGTTGCTCTAAGCAATGTTCCACTTCTTCTTCCCTAGAGTCTCTTGTCCTTGGAAGGGTTGGGAGAGGTAAGTTTCAGCAAGTGATCGTAGTTCTCTGCCTACTTTAGGAAGAAGCAGAAGGAGTTGGGTTCTCTGCCTTGCCGGGTGTGGCAAAAAGGAGGTGTTTTTGTGAGGGCTTCTCCGCCTAGCTGTGGGGGCTAAAGGAGAGTCACGCTTGTAGTGCAATACTCGGAGGGCGCCTCCGTGGAGTGGACGTAGGTCGAGTTGACCGAACCACTATAAATCCTTGTGTTCTTGTTTTTACTGCTTCCACATTTATTTTCTTCCACACTTGTTTTTGTGGTGATTTGGTTTGTGATAATCGTTCTTTTTTGCTTAAAGAAGTTTTTAAAATACCAATTCACCCCCCTCTTGGTTAGTCTTGGGCCAATTCTATAGAGCTTAACATCCCTAACAAACTTTCAAATCAAACAACATAAGTAATATCAATTGACCTCTAAGACACTCTTAAGTTAATATAAAAATCTTCGAGCTATCAATCTTGGTCCATATTAAGTTCTTTAAGCTCAAATTTTGATTGAACTTGAGTTGTGTAATGTACATCCCATATAAGTAATTATCATGAACATTCATCAAATCATTACACATGAAATACTTAGCACGTTAATTAGAACATTCAAGCATACGTTTGTTATCATCAAAATCACTAGAACAGGTCATGAGATAGATAATTTCAATAGAAAGTAAGTGAAAATTATATTTTTATTAAATATTAGCATAGCATCGCAGCGTTTCAGAAAGCGATGCTGTAGTGCTCTCAAAAGAGACCATGACACCGAAATGCCCAACCCCATCACCACAATGTTTGCCAAAATTTTCAAAAATACATAGAGCTCAATCCTACAATACTGTCTACTCTGGTGCGTCAACTATCCTAAGGGAAAAATTTATAGATTCCCTATTCAAGCAACATAAACACTAGGTACTCACTTCAAAATAAATTTCAAACACCCACATGCACATAAAATACTCATAAACACATGTAAGATGTGGAGAAGCAAAACTTTCATTATTCTTATTAAAACGAGTTAAAATATGTGCAACTGTATATTGCTTTAGTGGGTATTATAATTGGGGAAATTTTGTCTTGAATAACCTTTCGAGTAGTCAACATAAATATTTGGCTGATTACGATTATTATGAGTCATATAAAGTGATATTTTTTAATATTTAATCATTTAAATATAGTAGAGAAAAAAAATAAAATGAATACATATTAAATAAGATTATAAATAAAATATAATAAAATAGATTATATATAACATTTATCATGCAAGCATTATATATAATCTACCTAAGTAAATTAAAAAATTCTTTTAAACTCTAAATTAACTAGGAAAATATTTTTATATTATTATATAGACCATTTGAGATGGAAAAATTTATTAGGAAGGTGATTCTAAAATTATGATGAGAAACTTTTTTAAAAATATTATTATATGTATTATAAATATACAAAAAAAATAAAAATAAATTGAGATCTCTTTTATTCATATCATATTTTAATATGTCTAATTGTAAAAGATAACCAAGTTTTAAAAACCAGATTAGATTGGTCTTTCCAACTTGTTCAAATGTGAACCGATCTTAAGGTTGGTCCGCCTCATCCTCAAAACTATTTCTATATCAAATCGAGCTGAACTAGTCAGAATTGCCTGTTCAACTAGCAACCGGTCCTGATTCCTTGAATAGATGATTTGATTTATAAATGATTTAAATAATTAAATAAATTAATTTAATATACTAAAAATAAAAATATTAAGTAAAATTTGGCATTTAATAATTTAATTTAAATTTAAAATGTTTAATTTTAAATAAAAATATTTCAACTAAGTATTTCACACTCCACTCCATATGAGTTCTTACTCTATCCAAACTCAAAAGATAATATATAATGTAAAAATTACCAGGAGACAGTTCCCTAAGTGAACTGGGGAGTAAAAAGAAATTTGCTATGCTTTTGTTATGTTTTTTTATATTTTTGCAAATACTCGATAATAAAAGTAATTAATATACAATGAAAATTATATATTAAATACCTCTTGGAAAAAATAACAGTAAAAAGCATCGGGACGCAACCTCACGTCCGGTGTCCCCACAGAATAATTTGCCCAGCCCAGCTCTTCCTGTATTAAACTCTCTCAGAAGAATTCTGCACCACAATCGGAGAAAATCCGAGGGATATGGCGTTTAGAACTGCTTTGCGCCCCGTCCTCGTGCTGACGGAACCGTGGAGCTCTGCCCACCGTCCGGTGCTGACAGTTTCCCTTCCGGCGCAACTTATCCGGCCAAGAGTTAGGGTTTCGACCTTCGCCCCTTTCATGCGGTGCTCTCGTAGTGATGTTCCCTCCCCGGCCTTTTCTCAGGATGAACAGGACCCACCGCAGGAGGCTGTGCTCAAGGTCATATCCGGTCAGTGCTCCCCATAGTGATTACCAGTCAAATGCTTGATTCTCATTAGTGGCATTTCTTAAATATGTTATTCTTCTGTAATTTCCTAGAGACGACTTTTTTTTTCAATTTTCATTATTCCTGCCATTTATGCTTGTTTTCTCGTTGATTAATCTTGTTTCTTGCTTGACTATCGAGTCATTGATAAGAAGGTAATGATGCAATAGACCCATAGATGCTTGCACTGGGGGAGGTTAATTAGCAATTCCTTGATTCATTTTTCTTACTGATTCTCAGTTCTGAAGGAAGCTTTGAATGTAAATTTTTAAGAGATTGTTGCTCCTAGAAAGCGTGGATGTTATTACTTCTTTAATTGAAGAGGTCGACGATATGCTGTAATCTGATGAAATTGGAGCGGATGAATTAAAGGCCACCTGAAACTGATGTAGTTCAAGAATTTTTGATTAATTCCAGCATTTCGTGCATTTGTGCCTCCTTCCATGGCAGTCTGAGTTGCCTATTGATTTGCCTCTTGGATACAAGAAATTATTCTTATTGGTATGTCCGTATGTGAGAGGAGCAACTGCTGAAGGACTTGATGGACTTCATTACGTACTTGTAACTCTAGTTGGGAACGAATGTTTGATTTTAGTTTGCTAAACACATTTTAGGGGCTCACTTGATAGATGATTGGTTGATCCCTCGCAAAATATGAATGATCCAATTGCTAGCTCAGGCAATTTTTCTATTTGGGTGCAACAACTGTCTTGAGATTCCAAGGAATCTTTTTATTGTTTGGCATAACATTGACAAATATCGTTTCATATACTCCTATGAGTCTTGTCTTACTATTTTGGACATGAATACTTGTTTGATATTTTACGTTTATTTGACAAACTTTTTGCTACATATCCAAGGATTAGCTAAGATGGCTTATGCATTGTTTGGTTTGTTAAAATAAGATTGAAGAGTAAAATGGAATACAATAATAAAATGAATGCAATGTATTTGAAATATTTATAGTTATTTGTATGAGTGTAAAATAAATGCAAGTTATTGTTTTATGAGCAGTGATGGGGGTTAGTTAGCGGTGAAAATAAAATTCCTCAAAAAGTAGGCAAGTTTAGATTATAGAAAAAATGAACTGCAGTGTAAAAAGAAATTTACCAAAACTTTAATTTTTTTTTCTCATCATACCAAAGAGCAAAATTTTTAACTCTCCTACATTTGGAATACTTTTTATTCCTTTTTAAGCAAACCGAATCGCCTTTTAATTAGTCTTGGACCCCACTAGGCTAATAATGATTCAAAACTTTTAATCAGCATAGCAAATTTAAGTCTAACCATACTTGTCAGTGGTGAATGGCGCACCGCGGTGCAAAGATTCCCGTGGAGCCATGGCGCATAGCGCACGACTCGGTGCGTGCCTTTTTAAACAAAACACACAATAGAAAATAATTATAAAACATATATTCATTATTATTAAATACCATTAAATAATAAATAATAGGTTGATTAAAGTAAAATTCAGACATAAATATCCTGTTGAATAGCAAAAATGATGATTTTAAATCTTACATAAAGTTACATCAAATAGATTTGAGTAGGATTTAAGCATAATTTATCCTAAATCCCACCTAATAAAAAATTATAGCTTTAAATCTATTATGCCTGCTCCCATGCCGGCCCAGGAGGGGTTGGCTGGACCAGTCTAGGTCTATGCTCGGCGGAGGTTAAACAGGGAGATGTGGGTGGAACTCCTGTGGGCCCCATGATGGGCTTAATGCAATTTTTGGGAGGAAAGATTTGAATGTAAGGGCTGATTAGATAAGTTCTAATTCTCCTTTGATGTTTTAGGGGAATATGAGGGAATTAGGATTATCTTGAATTGGAATGAGATTTGAGATCTAGGGTTCTTTTGCTTTGGGCTCTTGGCGTTGCCGGAGATTTGGAGAGTTGTTCTTCCTCTCAAATTGAAGAACAATTGTATCTTTGCTATTTACTTCTATCTTCTAGTGGAATACAAGTCTATACTTGAGTTTTTCTCTCAAATTTCCCGGGATTGTGCTGTTTTCTTGCTGTAAACAGCAGATTTCTGCTGTTTTCCTACTGTGGACAGCAGTATTCTCGCTGCTTGATCACCGATTTGGGTTAGGGTTGCTTGCGAACTCAAGTATTACCTTAGGGTTACTTGCGAACTCAAGTATTTCCTATCAAAATCATACAAAAAAATTAAATCCTTTAAGGTTTTTTATATTTTATTAATTTGAAGATTAATTAATTAATAATTGATTATGATATTAATAAAAAAATTAGTTATAATTTATAATTTAAAATTTATAACATGTTAATGAAATAGCGCGCGCCATGAGTGCATTGCGCCATGCGCCATTGCCCATGCATGGCTCAATTAGCACGCGCTATTTTGATGCGTCGCGCCGCTCCAAGTAAATAACATCATATATGCGCCACGCAAAGCCGTATGCCATGGCACGCGCCATTGACATGTATGAGTCTAACGCTATCTAGAACAATTTTCTGGTGATTACGTGGCTTTTGGCTAAAATCATGTATTGCAAACCTTTGTTATTAGTCCATGCATCAAAATTACCATAAGATTAATCAATCGGTGGGACACAATGCAGAGAAATGGTTAGTTGGTACCCGAGAATGAAAGATGCTATTCAGAGAAAGCTGAATGAAATACATGGAAGCAAAACAACATAATCAGAATAAATTATACAAAAAAAGAACAGTGCAGCTTTTATGCCATGTTAATATATTCCTGGCATAATATTTTATCTTTATTAGATTTGACTTATGTTAAGAAAGGTAGAGGTAAACTTAAAAAGACTTGGTTTGAATATATTAGAAATGACCTTTATTTATTAGGTTTATATGAGAATTTAAAAATGATTCATGTAGCCAACCCCACATCACGGGATAAAGGCTTGTTGTTGTTATATTTTGTTTGGCTGCTTGAAACTAAGATAATAAAAAATGCCTTTTTGTGGCAAATAAATGCATCTTAAAAGTTGAATGGGTGAGATGCCTGCATCTTTTCATTATTTTCGTATTACTTGTTTCCTCAACACACATTTAAGCCGTACATACTCTGCACTCTGGTCCTCTGTTGATTTATGTTTTCATGTATAAACCATTTCGAAGGTAAATGTGTTTTTTTAGCATCCCTGAACATCCGAAGGAACCCTGCACTTTATCCAGAACTGTGAAGTGCGTGCTGTTTTAGGCTTTTCTATGGATTGTCAATATGGTAAGTAGTCACATGCCCAACTCTTCTTTGTTAGAACCGATGCCTTCATTTGCTATTTTCCAATGCGAAAAAATTGGTTTGGGGGAACATATGATGTTTTGAAGTAACTCTATGGACATCATATTTTAGGCTTAAACCCTATCCTCAAAAAAAAAAAAAAAAAGAGAAAAAAGGAACTCATATTTTTCTTTCTGATATGCAGTATATGCTTCTCATTATATTCTTGTAATCTACTTTTGTTTATGTTCTAACTACTGTCAGAGTAAATAGCAGAAGTGTCAAAGTCTGAAGGAAGAGTTTCTCAAACAACAAATGTGATTATTGGAGGTACGGTTAAGGATGATGCTACAAATGAATGGCTTGCTTTAGATCAGAAGGTATTTTCCTATTGAATCTTTTGATAGTTTCAACTTGACGTTATTTGTTTGACCGAATTGCCTTATTTGCCTAGCCTGCTTTTCTCCTTGTTTAAATGCTTTTGCATTTTGAAAGTTTCATTATAGATAGGTACTTGACCTTAATTTTTTATAGGTCACAAATATGATCTTCACTTTTAGCCATTTTATTTAGCACTAAATCTTTATAGTTTCTAGTTAGTGGTTGAGCTCAAATGTTTTTTGCTGCGGTGATGTACCTGTGCATATTGGACACATTACTGTTCATATTCATCAACCCTCACACGAATGCTCCGTTCTTCTGAGTTAACCTTCAGTCCATGCTATACACCATTCAATATAGAATTCATTGTGCTTTTGACACTTAACACCTGTATTAAAATGTGTGATAGCAGACTGACTGCTACGTTGTTATTCCAAGTCATTAAATTGGTTTTCATTGACCTTGATGTTTCTTGAGTGTTTCTTTAATAATTTGTGTTCTAGAGAGTGGCCACTAAGGAATTTTTGTATTCTTAACGAATTTCATGGCTTGCTTAGCTTGCTCTGATCAGCAGCAGCAACAACAACATCCAACCTTTATTCCACTAAGTGGGGTTGGTTACATGAATCGTTTTTCTCCATTGTGTTATGTTAAGAGTCAAATTTTCATTTAAATCTAATAAAGAAATGTCATTTCTGATATTTTCTAACCAAGTTTGTTTATGTCCACCTCTACCTTTCTTAGCATAAGTCAAATCTAATACTTCTACTTTACTAACTGGTCATCGGAAGGCCACTGTTTTATGTGACCAAACTATCTAAGGCGACTCTCTCTAACTTTATCTTCCACTGGAGCTACTTCAACCTTTTCACGTATATGCTCATTTTGTATCCTGTCTCTAAGAGTAAAGCCACTCATCCACCTGAGCATCATCATCTCTGTAACACTTAATATTATGCTTCTCTTTTAATGGAAAACATTCTACACCATAAAGCATTTAGGTCTCACCACGATCTTATTGAATTTTCCATTAAGTTTGAGGTGGACTTTTCAATCATACAATAAGCCCGATGCATTCCTTCACTTCAACCATCCAACTTGAATTCTACTAATAATATCTCCATCTATTTCATCATTACTCTGAAGAATGGACCCAAAATATCTAAAACGTATACTTTTATTAATGATCTGATCGCCCAAAGTCACAATACCCCCACTAGATCTATTATTACCAAAACTACACTCCATATATTCAGCTTTAGATGTACTCAAATGAAAGCCTTTAGATTCTAAGGTTGACCTCTATAATTCAAGTTTTCATTTAACTCCCTTTCTAGTCTTATCAACAAGAAGAATATCATTAGCAAAAAGCATACACCATGTATAACCTCTAGCAAATGTGTAGTGAGATCATCCATGACTAAAGCAAAAAGATATAGGCTTAAGGCTAATCCTTGATGTAATCCAACTTAAATACGAAAATACTTGGTCAAACCATCTTGTGTTCGAACACAAGTAACGACACCTGCATAAATATCCTTAATGACTTGAATATAAGCATTACTAACTCCTTTGTTTTCCAGAACTCTCCATAACACTTCTCTTGGAACTTTATTATATGCTTTCTATAAATCAATAAATATCTTATGTATATCCTCCTAATTCTCTCTATACTTCTCCATCCAACCTCTCAATAAATGTATAGCTTCCATATTAGACCTACCAAGCATGAATCTAAATTAATTTTGAGAAACATTAGTATCATGCCGCAACCGATGCTCTATAACTCTCACCCATAGTTTTAAAGTATGACACATTAACTTAATTCTTCTATACTTCGTACAATCTACTGGAACACCTTTATTCCTAAAAATAGTAATCAACATACTCATTCTTCCTTCATCTGACATCTTTTTAGTCTTCAAAATAATATTAAAATGTTTAGTAAGCCAAGAAATTCCTTCATCTTCTAAGCATTTCCACACCTCTATTTAATATTATCAAATCCAACAGCTTTTCCTCACTTCATTTTCTTTAAAGTCTCTATAACTTCGGTTTTACTAATACACCGATAAAAATAAAATATTTATTTTTATTTAGGGTGCTAAAGTCACTAATGTCAATTCAATTATCACAATCTTCATTGAAATGTTTAGCAAAATTTCTCATCCACCTTCCAATAAAAGTACTTTTTGATCTTCATCCTTAATACACTTCGCTTGAACTAAATCCTTACTAGTTCAATCTCTTTGTTTGGCTAACTTATTTATATATCATTCGCCCTCCTTAGTATCTAATCTATTATATAAATTATTAAAAGCTAAAATCTTTGCATTGCATATTGCTTTCTTAGACTCTTTACGAGCCTCTTTATATCTTTCCAATTATCAGAATTTTCAGAATTTTTTTATCTAAACCAATTTTTAGAACAAATTCTTTTTATTTTTAACCTTTTCTTGCACATTTTGATTCTACCACCAACTATTTTTACTATTAGTAGCTTTCCTTTCGAGGTGTCATAATTCAGTTTTACTTGTACATGTTTAGTCGGTTCACACATGTGTAGAGTTTGCTAAAGTAATTTTATCATTAGGGTATTTTGCAATTTTCTCATTTGGACATATTGCAGAGAATTCAAGAATCAAAAGCCTGCATTGCAACACTAAAGCTTTTTTCATTGCTCATATACAATTCGTTTAACTTATTGAAAGATCTCTTTTATGCTCTCAATATCAGTAAATCTAATATGAAAGTGTTTTTGACAAATGTTTAGTAAAAAACAAAAAAAGTTTGTTAGTGTGGCTCCAGATCATGAACATAGATATTCCCTGAACTTGAAACATCTTAATTGCTGTAACACTAGCTTCATATAAAGATGTATTATGTCAAGCGTTCTTCAACTTGTGGATATTTAGCAATTTTGGCTTCTTTTATGTGTTTCCTCTTCCTGGTTGTACAGGTAAACTCATATCCGACTGTTAGAGGATTTACAGCCATAGGAACAGGAGGTGATGATTTTGTCAACGCAATGGTTGTTGCTGTTGAATCTGTACTTCATGAACCAATTCCAGAGGTTTGCTATAGTTGTATTCTTGCAAAGTTTTGTTTAGTTCATGTATCAAGCATTTAAAACACCAGTAATATTCATCTGTATCATAAAACATAAGAAGGATATTCTTAACTCTCATGAGACAAATTAATCTCGACAAAGACTGATATCTCCATTTGGCTTTTTTCATCCAATGACTACTCGTTCTCTGTAACTCTTTTTATTCATTTCTGTGGATGGACGCGTCCATAACCTTGCGATTCTTGGATTTGGAGGCCTATTGTGTTCATCTAAGGACTGTTTTTTTTGTTTGGACTATCTTCAAAATTCATAGCAATGAATTTTTGCTTAACTAAGGTATTATTAATCTGTTCTCTGTGATGCGTTAGAATAAATTGGAAGATGACATCCATAATTTCTTCAGTTGCGTCCCTATTTTAAATATTTAGGAGGCTTTATAATATAAAGTGCTATCATCACCCCTATCAGTAGCTTACATATATTTTTTTCCTCAAAGAGGTGAATTTATCAAGAAAGGTTTTTGAGGGCTTTGTTACGTTTTCTTCTTTTACTTCCATCAAAATTGTAACGTCGATCAAAATTGTAACGTCGATAGATTTGGATCGCTTTAGTTATGAATGATGGGTTACACACTCAATCAGAAAAGAAAATATAATTGGTAGATGAAATAAGGTTTTATTTATTTGGAATGGGAAATACCATGGGGCTTTGACCAATTGAAACAATATCCACTAGCAATATATATTAGTTAAAATTGCCCTTCTTTTTTAAACTTGGAAATGGCATGCCAATATAATGCAAGTAGCCACTAGATAGTTAATCCTTTTGGAGGTGAAATAGTACGTCATGAAAGTTGCAAATATGGTGGCATTGAAATTTTTGGAGGTGACTAAGAGTAGTCAGTACAGCTCTCCTTTTGCAGGTGGAGATGAAACAACCTAAATTTGATGATGATGCAACACAACGAGGCCATGGAGGCCACTAAATGTAGCTCCATCTATCCTGTCCTTGATATTGAGATAATATGACCTAAAAACTACTACAAAGCATTGTAGGGATGCTGTGGATGAAAATGAAGTTGTTCAGATTAGTCTTTCCATAGATTTTGAGATGGCATGACCAAAAGATGGCAATTGATAATGCTGAAAGGTTGTGGAGGCCATTGGATGTGGTTGGATTGATCCTCTATTTGAGATGGATATGGTACGACGTAAAGGATGTCTGACATAGAGTCAGCAGGTGATTAAAAGCGGTCTAGATATCACTCAAAAAGGAGCAGGGACTAGGAGATCGAGAGTTGTCATGTGACTAGGAGTTAAATAATGAGTCAGTCCTTCTAGAAAGTGGTGAACTCGGGTATATTCAATGATATATGATTGTAGGTTTAGTCAAAGGTGGCTCTGCTCTTGGATAGAGGGAGACATTAACTAGTCGAGCTATGAGATATTACATCAAGGGACTCTGAGCATCAAGTTGCTATACACGTTAGTTAGTACATATTAATAGATGCTAGGTAATGGGATGCCAATGGAATACGAGTAATTGACGAACAACATATATTAGATAATGATGGCTGTTGGCCATCAACAGTTGTCATGTTACTGGTAGATGATAAGTGGTTAGTAGAAGGGTGATCCATAGATTATCAGTGAAGAGTGATGGAGAGTGTTGTCTGTCAATTAGTATTGGGCAATTGACAGATTATGAGAAAACGTTGGCTCTGAGAAGTTATTAGATTTAATAAACTAATGAGCAATGGATGTTGGGCGGCGATGAGCATTGGTCGATGTCACATGTCGGGTTATAACAACCGATAGATGGAGGGGTACTTACAATATTTTGAATATGAAGAGGGCCGTCTGATAAAGTTTGTGTGGTGGGGTTAAGGCCTGGACAAGGGAAAGATCCTAGCATGCTTCTAGGATGACAAACTTTTAGGAGAAGATAATGTTTGATTCATAGCCAACACCAAAAGGTAAAGAAATTTTATAGGGCTATAAAAGTAAAAGGTGAGATCAAATATGTGACACACCTTGTGCAATGGATCGATTTTAGAGGGTTCAACAGTTAAATGTGCATCTTTTGGAGCATTCTTAGGATGTGTGACCTTTTGGAAAGTTACACCAAGAAGTTTAAAATGCAAGGTTTAGCCTAGAATGGAATGATCTATGATAGAATTGATAATACTTATCATTTAGTTACCTTGGTCATATTAATTGGTATCAAGGCTAGAGCTCATTTGTTACAATGTTTAGTTTGGGGACAAATTATTTAGATGTTCGGAAGCTTGAGATATCTTGAATTTGAAGAGAGCTGTCTAATAGGGATTGCAAGCAATGATCGCTAGGGTTGAGGCCTGATGAAGGACTGAATCATGTCAGGTTTTGTAGATGATAGGCTTTTAGGAGAAAAGAGGGGAAGGTGTGAAGTGAGCCTGATCCCATATGAGAAAGGCTGAAAATGTTACTTGCTTATGCAAGTAAAATGTTGGACCAAATATATGAGGAACATTTGTTATAAAGCTCATTCGTTTGAGTCGCTTAGCCCATGGGTTAGGTGGCCAACAGAGGTAGATGCTACTTATGAAATCTTTGACCGATGAATATATAATATTGCTTCAAAGTTCTTAGCACTATATGGATTGATATTCTGACAATTGGATTTTTTAAAACTCTTTCGAGAAGCTTAAGACATTCAAATTAGATTTGTTTCTAAGTTCGAGAGTCACCAGTTACAAGAGCTACAATAATTTTGGGAAGGTATGAGGATTAAATTTTATGGTCATTTGTAAATGGTGATAAGAAGTTGCTGTTTTTGTGTTGAAATGTTTGACTTTATCGAAAGCAATTCCAAAAGCTTTATGGATCCAAATTAAGGTTAGTGAAGAATGGTGATGGTGGGCCATAATATTGGTATTGAAATATTCATCTCTTTTAGAACAATTTAAAACCATTGACAACTCATATGCAAATGATATCCCTTTTTTTATGTCGAAATGTTCTTTGTGAGAACGATCTAACATCGAAAACTGTTTGCAAATTAGAGATTGGGAGATATTGTGGAAACTCTAAAAAGTTTTTATCAAGATATGTGAATTATGCTAAATTTAATGAAATTTGGGCCGATTAGACACCACCATGCTTTTGGCCGTGAAAAGGGGCTGATCTCCTTCGGGCCTCCCCTGGACATAGTTTTTCCACTTGTATATGACTAAGGAAGACTATGGCTTGGCTATGCTTGGTTTGTTGTTTTCTTCATTCATTTCAATTAGTTCAGTACCTGAATATGCTCAAATTTTGGATATTTACTATCGTTGGAATTGCCACGATGAAACTGTTGTTTGGGCTATAAGTTTGCAAAACCTAGATGTCATTATTACTGGAATTAATTTTTGAAGACTTCGAGATCTCAAATTTAGTTAAAATTTATGTTTGATCAAAAATAGAATTTTTGATGACTCATTGAGCATTTGGAGTGAAAGGAATGGTAGGTGCATTTCTCATTAACAAAGAGATGAGGATGTCCTTTGGTTTTGATGTTATCAATCAAGCCAATTTTTGGATCAACAAGCAAAAGGGAGAAAATCATCATAATCAACAAATTATGAAAGTCATTTTTTTACCAATCAAAACCTACTTTTTCCTTGAACTATGCAAGCGTTTTTTGTTCTCTGTTTTGCTGTTTTTTCTTTGATCTTGTATTTTTATCTGTAATTTTTATTCATATTAATGTGAAGTGTTCGCCTAGCTTTTTAATTAAAAAAGGCCACCTCTAATATTTCATTATTTTTGTATATTATTGATCTATTTATGTTAATTGTAAACCTAATAGCAGGAGTAAGTATTATGTGTTCTCTTTCCCTTATAATTAATCAAAAGTATTTTAACTTAGGGGTAGTCAGTGAGTAAAGCTTAACATGCACATTATGATTTGCTGTTATGCATTACAGATTTAATACATCAGGCACTTCTGAATATATGTATTTGACATATTGAATTAGAAAGTAAACCTTCAAAATTTTTCGTAAAGGCCACAGGCATGCACATACAAGCGTATGGGAATTGTAATAATTAAGATAGGATTTTAATTTGTGAATTGTATTTTTCCAAATTCTTTTAGTACATAAAATGAATATTTAAATTGAAGAAAATCATCCTGTATGGCTATGGAAATTGTATTTACTATAAATTTAGTTATCTACTTAATGTATTTAAATGTGCTATTTCAAGAGGTTATGCATGCTATGGACGTGGGTGCATAAACCTGTTGATACATTAACAGCAAGTAATGCGATGACTTAATAAATTTATAAGTGGGAAAAGAAAGGAGAAGAGGTATACAATCTTGTCCATTGTTGATTATAAGTTAGTTGCTTTTCACTTGACACGTAGGGCTTGTTCGGCTGTCTTTAAGCAGATGTTCACATAAATTCTACATTACTTTTTCTGATGAGACTCTTCCCATCTTATTTAAGCTTGTATGTGACATTGTTAGTAGAAGCAGCTTAGAAGATTGAAACATATGGTATTCCCTAGATGACGGAATCATGAGATCTTGATCGGGTCTATCTCCATCTCTCACAAACGACACTAAAACTTCAGATTCCTAAGCTACATTAAAGTGATTCTTCCTTAATCAAGAGTTTTCTCCTATAAAGTAGTGTTAATTAACTATGAGAGATTGCGCTCATAGGAAGGACCCATATCTAAATAAACCTCGATGCGAACCTCAGGGGAAATCTGGTTCATTAAAAATCAATCCGCCTTAAGGAAATTTGAATCATAACTATGAAAAATAGGATTCATGCCTGAACATCATTTTTTTCTTGAGTGAATAGATTTCTGGCGACTCCGTAGGGGAATACTTCTCCCTTCATCTTTGGATGAATTATTAAACAAATTATGTTTTAGTCTTAAGCATTTTAAACATCTAAAAGATGTTCTTTATGTCAAGTTAATGTTTCTTTATGCAATAAAAATCAGGGTAAGGGTTTGAAAGCTAGG